CTTTAAGATATAATGCAGGGGGTTTGGAGTGGATTTGTGGTGTTTTTTTTTCCCCTGCTCATTCTAGAGGGAGGAACTAATCTGTAAACTTTCGGAAAAGCTCAGCCACAGGTCTGCCTGCTTGCTGCCGGAGCGTGTGGGGCTGGCTGCAAATATTCAGAACGCTGGGCAGGGAGGCGTGAAATGCAGGAGATGCCGGTTTGGGAGGGCAGTGGAGGGCTCCCACACAAACTGGTTAAACACTGGTATGGATCATGTGCAGACGGGTTTGAGCAGTGTGAATTTGGGATGGAATCGATACTTACGGAGGGTAAAGCTATTGCAGCTCTGTATCACAGGGGAAAGGGTGATGAATACTTTGCTTGGAAAACCTGGAGGCTCTGCCCGTGGCACATCGAGTGGTGTGGAGGTAGCTGAGGCTGGAGGAGCCCTTTTGCAAGGGACTTTCTAAAACTGAGTGAACAAGCAGAGCAGCGGTAGCTGTGCTTAACTAAGCATACGTAATGTGTATTATAATGATCTGAACAACATGAGCATGTTGATGAGCTCTAATTTAACTCCAGATGATCAGGAAAGAGTTGTCGGGGGCAGCTCACTTGCCCAACTGGCGGCTGGGCTGTGATGGTCAAAACAGTCGCTGCAATCTGCCGTACAAGAGACTAATGCTGTGGAGTGGCAGCTCCTTCTACACAAGTCAAATTGCATCCGCAGCAAGAAAGTGTGATTTGTGCTGCTTATTTTGTCTCAAAAGCAGAAGAGAAAATGAAGGGAGATGATGGTATCAGCTGCAGTAGGCTAAAATGAGCTTTGTTTTTGAAAAGAGAATTCAACAATTGAGGGGAAATGGATTTTTTAAATTATTTTTTATTATTATTAGGAGGTTTAAAAAAGCGGCTATTAGAAACTTTCCTGTGGCTTGAAATGCTAACTCACTTCCAGGGAAGAGGGATTAAATATTGAGGGCAGGCAAGCTGTGAAAGTTTGGTGGTGCATATACTTATTACAGGAGTAATTCCCTCCAGAGCAGTGTGGGTTTTTACACTTACATGACTGCAGACAAAGCTTACATGTGTGCTTCACACGTTAGCCACGGATTGATCCTGTAGAGTTTTTAAGTGCACTGGGTCTGATCTTACAAGGCATTTTCAGTAAATGCTTAACCTCAGACTGCGAAGCCTCAGTGGTATCGTGACAACTGTTCTTTGTTTTTAGGATTAAGATTGGTATTGGTAAATCTGCATTTTCTTCCCATACAGTGTTTTGCAATTAATCCCTAAATTGAAAACACATGCAAAGTCTAACCGCTTAACTGAAGATAGATTTGTAAGTTGCTGATGAAAAAGTCTCTGCTTTGGAAAATGGCAAAGCTTGTCTTACACAGCTAGTAAACTATGCTAATCCTTCAGCGATACAGATTTGATCCAGAAGTACCAAGTGCCCCAAATATGCTTGCAGTTGCTGTTGAATCAAATACTTTCTTTTTTTCTTCTTTTTTCAAAGCAGAGCCATTGCTCTGCAGGGTGAGTCGTTGCGGGGCTCAGTCCCAGGGGAGGCTGGGGACTGCGGGTCCCCAGGTGGAGAGAAACTCCTCCTGAAGGACACACAGAGTGTTGCTCAGCCAGGTTTTGCGCACACCAGGTCTCCTGGCATCTTTCAGACCTCCCTGCAGCCCATTCCTCCCTGCTCGGGCTCCCTCCACCCCGTCTCCTGATGCACCACTTTCCCATATCCAGTGTTTGGGCATCTTCCCTCTCCAGTCCTGCCCACTGCCATCATCACCCTGTTCTTCCTTTCATGTGTTTCATCTCCTCTCCTCTTTCCTCATCTCTCTGCAAAGAAGATCATGCCTGGTATCAACTTTTTACCTTTGAAGACAGTGCAGAGATATGTGGGAAGGCATCGTGTGGCCGATGCCAGCAGGTCCCTGATCTCTGCACCGCCGTAGGAGGTGCTGGGGCTGCTGCTCTGTGAAATAGCTGCTGTGACCTCTCTGTGTCATCCTTTCTCCAACTCATGTTTTTCCCCACAGTAACCACAGTCAGTGACTTTCTTGCCTTTTCATACGTAAAATCAAGAGTCAGTCCTAGGTATTGTGCAGAAGTTAACAACATTTCATGCAAAGAACAAACTGCTGCTGGGTTGTACACAAAGTTTTCTGGCTTTAGTGTACCACAGGAGGTCTGTTTTTATGCAGATCTTACAAAATATTTCTGGTGACTGCCCGAAAAGACATCTTTGTGTTCGGTTTTGTGGGAGAACAACCTTTACTCCATGCCTGTTTGGGGTTCCCATCACTCCCTCTTTCTCGTGGCAATGGGTAGCTGTGGCCTGAACTCTCCCTCTCTCAGTGCTCCTATTTTGAAAACCAAGTGCAATGTGCTGAGCAAAACAGGAAATTTTGTTGAGGAATGGGAACGGAGTTTAACAACAAAGGTGTCCTGGCAAGATGCTGCACACAGTGACTAACATTCTGCTTTAACACCTCGTCGGTTGTCACAGCATCGTAAAGACTTTTTCATCGTAGTGTAAAACCAATGCTTACTTTGACATATTTTCTTCACACAGTCTTTGGTTTTAGTTAATTTGTGCCTGGTTACACTGACTCGAGGTGTCAGGAGGTTCAGTGGCTGATGCTGACGTGGTGCTGGGGAGGCAGGGAGCGGAGCCTGTGCTTTGACAAAGACTTCCATGTGAGCCCCGGCAGGACGGAGGGCCAGCTTTGCACCTTGTCTGCTTGCTTGTAATGGGGGCTGAGGGTCACTTTCCTACGTCAGAGACACACGCTGGCTTGGTAAATGTGTTGTAGATTACAAAATACAGACGCTGTATTCATGGAGGCTGAGTGATGTTGGAGGTCTTTAAATGAGCAGGGAGCTACAGAATAGCAAAAGTATGCAAAAACCTCATTTCTGTATTTCACCTACAAGTCAAGTAACAAGAATTAAAGCATAATCTGCTAGTTGACCAGCTAACAAATTTATTTTGGAAGCTGTTTGACTTCGTTCACCTAAATTAAAACTGTTACAAAACTGAAGATCTCGCTGAGCTTGAATGGAAATCCTATGGCATGGGGTAAATTCTGGTAGAGGTCAGGGGGAAAAGAGACCAAACTCAGAAGTTTAGAGTACTTCTGCCTTGGTGCTTAGTGTCTTGATGGTCAGAAGGCCTAGTAATTGACTGCTATATAATTCAGATTCAGGGTGTCGTTACGGTGTGAGCTATTGGTGCAAATTACTAAGGAGCACCCTTTCTTATTCTGCTGTGGCTCTAGTGATTTCAAGGGAGATGTTATGGTCACCTTGTAAAGGTTACGCCTGTGTGCTTGGCAGACACATTTGCACCTCCACACTGATTCACAAGCTGCCAGAGGAGAGCGTGGTTTCTTGAGGAGAGTGCTAAGGTGAGGTCAAATATTTTATACCCCCTCCCATTCACTTTGCCTCGAATCTTTAAGCGGTGCTGGTGGGCATTTTATTCCTCTGGTTTCAAACAAGGGAGTTTCTCCCGTCACCCAGAGTCAGGCATGTAGCTTAGAAGAGGAGTTCTGGCTGGCAGGTTTCCCGAGGCATCCTTCTGCAGTGGGGGAGACAGGCTGTTGGAAAGGGAGAACGAAAGCCGGAGCCAGAGCCTGGCAGCTCCTGCATAGGGGTGGCCTCTCATGGCAGCGCTGCGCTGCGGACTCACCGGGGCGTGAGGATCAGTCGCCTGGTATTCGGAGGTGAATCAAGGCCCCTCGGAGTCAGTGGGAGGCTCTGTGCTGAGAGTGGTGGATTTCAGAGCAACTTGTGAGGCTCCTCTGAGTGATTTATGCAATGATGGGAACAAGAATTTCTTTTCTGAGCTGAGATCTGATTGTGGTGTCCGTCACAAAGTCCTTTGAGACAGCTTTGAATATGGATAGAGTAAAATCCTTCTCGCTGCTCAAGAGCATTGAAGTTATTATGAAGAAAGTTGCTGATTCCTCTGAACTCTCTGATAGCATTAACATGTATTCATGTTTCTCTTTAGCCTCAGGCAGCTTTATAAAGAGATGCATTTAGAGTGCAGACGTTCACCCGTACCCAGTAAAATGTGCCTGATGTGAAAGGATGTCTCTTACTGTGTGTTTTAGGAAAAATTGTTTGACTTGCAAGAAGCATAATGCACATTTCGTAGATTGTACAATGATTTTTTTTCACTTGCTGAATATTTTGGGGTATTTGTCTCTTTGGAAGTATGGCTTAGCATAGTACATCACTGAGCACAAATTCTGTTAACAAAATGCTGAATGCACAGTAAGTGGATTTTGCAGAATTGGGTCACCAAAAGGTTCTTCCTTTCTCATCTTTAAGCCTCTGAACAATTCTTGTCCTGAATGGTGGTTGTGTTATCCTTTGTGGACAGTTTATATGATTTGTAACCCTTTGGCAGCTGAAGAATGCTTTAAATCTGTTCTTGAACTGTACAAACTAAAAACACTCCTTAAGTTTGTTGATAACATGGAATGATGCTTATGGTACAATAGCTGACAACACAGTATTTGCTGGGTTTTTCAGACTAATGGACATATATCTGGGAATGGAGATGTGTATCAAGAAAGGCTGGCTCGTCTGGAAAATGATAAGGAATCTCTTGTTCTGCAAGTGAGTAGTCACATAAATTATTTTTTTCTGCTCTTGCAATCATAAGACTTATTGATAGTATGTGATAAAATCTCTGAGGATTTATTTGCAGTTGTGTCATCCTGGACAGTGTTCAGAAGGCTTGCCGGTACCCGAGAGTTAACACAGGTTAAGGATAGGTGTGAATTTAGATTGCAGGAAATGTCCAAAGGGCTTGCTTTCTGTGTATCTCATCTCTTTTTGAATCTTGCTAGGTGAGCAGATCTGCAGAGCGACTACCTTCTTACATTCACATCTGTCTTTAAGATTGCCATTTTCCGTGAGCGAATCTTGCTAGGTGAGCAGATCTGCAGAGTGACTACCTTCTTACATTCACATCTATCTTTAAGACTGCCATTTTCCGTGAGTGTTCACACGCTGTCTGCATCAGGTGACAAATGTCCTGTTCTCGTGAGAGGTGACAAAAGCTGCGGGACTGGCCCATGGCTGGGAGGAGACAAGCAGCTCCTCGGAGGTCCAGCCTACCTGCTGCTGGGCTGGACTGGGTCAGCCCCAAATGCTCTTGCCAGCTGGCTTACTCTTGCCATCAGAGTTGGGACTGCCTGGCACGCCTTGGTCTGCACAGGCGTCCTGCAGTCCCCTGGCACAGCCTCTGGCCTACGGGCTTTGATGACGCTGAGCTCTGCTCGAGGCAGCTTGCCCTTGTTCCCAGCGGTACTGCAGATTTCCTCAAAAGAGCCTGTTTAAAACAAAAACTTAGAGAAGGCAAAATGGGAATCAGTCTGCAGTCTCAAAGGTGTTGTCTTGCTCTTGCCTAGCCTTGGTCTGTGTGTTTTAACCCCTTTGCTTTTATTGTTCTGAAAAGGGGAAGCTGTGCACTGTGGTACACTGAGTGCAACCACTTGGAAAGCAGAATAAATCGTAGGCAGTGAGGTTTAGCCACTTGGTTGTTAAGGCAGGAGCTGGAGCTAGTGTGTTTTAGTTAATGTATTGTCACAGAACAGGCATCATTATTGGCTGTAAAGTGCAGCAGCTACCCCTTGCGAAAACTGCCAGGACAGGTCAGGAGGGGAGGTGCAGGATCGCATTGTGTCCACCAGAACTGTGGCTGAAATTCCAGCAAGCGTGAGCGGAGAGCTTGCCCTCCTCTCTTGTCGCCTTTGCCACACGTTGTGTCCACTGCAGAGCTCTGCTGCTGCTCCTCCTCCCCCTGTGGTCCCGTTTCATCTGTGGCCCAGGCAGCACTGTTACTCACATACGGTTCTTTAGGTGACACATGTGGCATGGGTGCAAGGTACTAAATACGCATCCTTTTTTCTCCACTGTGCAGGTCAGTGTCCTAACAGACCAGGTGGAAGCCCAAGGAGAAAAGATTCGGGATCTGGAATTCTGTCTAGAGGAGCACAGGGAGAAGCTGAATGCCACGGAAGAGATGCTGCAGCAGGTATTTCACAGGCGCGTGTGTGTCTCACTGTCTGTCTTAATTCTGTCTGTCTTCATTCTGAATCGAACTGCATTTTGTTTCTGGGAGAGCAGTGCACTTCAAGGTGTTGCACCCCTTGATGTCTCTTAACTAGGTGATAATTTTCTACCATATTTGCTTTGAAGTCTTTGTACCTAGTGACTTCAGTGCTGGTTTACACTGTAGGAATCCAGTCCTCTTGTTTGAGCCTTTCCCCATTGAACTTCAAGGAGGCTTGGATTAAAGCCTCTGTCAGGAGGGTGGGTTCCCCTGAAAGCTCCTTGCTGCCCAGAGCGACTGTGATGACAGACAAGCTTTTTTCTCATCCTGGAAGCCAACCCGTGATAGTGCCCCCATGATTTCGGATGCATCCTAGGTGCCTGGACTCTGTCAGATGGGTAACGGCTGTGTCCCAGGGCTTCAGAGAGTGCAAGGAAGTGTGTGATGCTTTCCCCTCTGAAAGAGGCCTTGAGCTGTAGAAATAAGTTACCGATTTCTTCCCCTTGGATGAATAATTCTGTTCTTTTCATCTTGAATCAGGAGCTTTTAAGCAGAACATCCCTTGAAACTCAGAAGCTGGATCTTATGGCAGAGATTTCCACTCTGAAGTTAAAGCTTACCTCTGTGGAGAAGGATAGATTGGACTATGAGGACAGATTCAGAGACACAGAGGTGAGTAAAACACTACTGAATAAATTGTGGAAGCTGTGTGTGGCTTCACGTTACCTGAAAATTTCCTGGGAATATTTTTTTTTCTTTTGCCAGGCAAGAAGGGATTTCATCTTAAAGGTTAAAACATGTATCTCTCAAAATAAGAAGTGTCCTCTTTGGTAAACTCTGGGTTTACACAGAAGGACATCCAAAACCAGGTTTTGATTCTTGCCATCAGTTCTCAGGAAGGATGGCATTTAGGATGTATTTTAAAAAAATCATGAACATACTGCGCTCTCCTGTCCCAACTTGAAACTGCCGTCGTCTTAGTAAGGCATGTTAGAGGCAAATGCTGCAGCCCACTGCAAGCAGAAAAAGCGTGCATGTGCAAAGACATGGCACACTGAAGACATGCCTTTGGGTTTCAGTAACAGAGAGAATGGGGTGACTCGGTGTGAGGGCATTTTGAAGCCTCACTTCGAACCCCAGTCCCGCAGAAGCCCAGGACCTAGAGGCCTGTGGTTACTTATCTCAGCCTGGCTTCAGCCCAGTGATGTGCGGTGCCAGGCAGAGCTGCAGCCCGGATCTGCCACCCCTGGCAACACTCTCTTGGGACATTTGCCCTCTGTGCACGGCAGATCTGCATAGCTGCACCTTGCTCGTGTTTGAAGCCAGAAAGCCTCAAAGCAGGTGGGCAAATCCAGTTTTTCCAGGAAATTCCAAGAGTCAGGCCAGACTTCGCTGCCAGGGTGACATACCCGTATCAGAAATACATTAGAGTCTGCTTAGGAAGCAAACCAAAATTTCCAAGTCTGCGTTCGTCAGTGAACCGAAATGCTGGCTTTTGTGTAGTGGATGTTCCAGCTGTCATTCATTTCTAGAGGGGAAGAAGCCATAATGTCATCACAGGAGACAAAATTTGCCCTTTCCACTTCAATCAGTGGTTTACCAACTCTCTTCCAGTTTCCTACACGTTTTTCAGTGAAGTGTCGTTCCTCACTTGTATTGCAAGTGTAAGAGCAGAAGTTAGGCTTACTTTTGAATTACTTTCTTTGGGCCTGTCTGAAGTAATACGCAGACCCAAAGAAGTCCACAGGTTGAAAACTAGTGACTCAAATCATGTTCAACTTTGAAAGGCGATGATCATTTACGTAATGATGGTGGTGTCTGTTCCTGCAGTGTAGCATGTCTGGGTGCTGCCAAGCTGTGGATTGGATTCATGTCACTTCCTGCTACCTTTTCCTCTAGTTTGATGCCAGAAGTTATGCAAAGAGTTGCAATATTGCCTTAAAAGCATCTGGTTTTGGAGTCCAGGCAACTACTGTGCATGAGAATGCTGGAGAAATTGGCAGATGGAAAGGCTGAGGGAATCATTGATGGTCTTCTGCATCTGTAAGAGACATGTTAAGAGCTGGCTGCTTTCTCAGCTCCCATGAGGTTTCTCTGCCCACACAGTGCTCGGCTCTTTGGTGAATTACAGCATACAACAGATAACTCTCTTCACCTGTATACTGACATCTGTCATAAGCAGCCCGAACAGTAGATAAATAAGTTGACGTCAGCAGTAAATGGCCTTGGGGAGGCAAGGTTTGGTCCAAATAACTTGCAGTGAGCAGATGCTTTCAGAACTGGATTCCACTGCATCTCCATTTATGAACACCCTGTGGTTTCTTGTGCTTTCCAGAACAGGTAACAAACGTGATTGGGCTTTGGCTGATTTGCTTCCTCTCTTTCTATTCTTATTTTTACTGAATATGATTCTTTGCTGAGCCTTCCTGTACTCCCGCTTCTTTCATTTCCCTCCTGAACTGCAGTCTCTCCGTAACTTAACAGCACAATTCAGACAACAGACCAGAAGGTGGGTGTGGAGCTACCTCTGTTCCCAGAAAAATGGTTAGTGTGAGGACCAGAACATGCACTGCAGCTCTGTAGGCTTGGCGCAAGAGGCCTGTCTGCATGGCAGCTCTGTGAAGACCTTTCTCTGTGAAATACCTTGAAATACGCTTAATGTCTTTGATAAGAAGAACATAACCTAAATTATGTTTAAAAATAATTACTGTAATTAGGAGCTACATATATATTTATTTCCTAGTTGTTTATGCTAGAACTAGTGAACTATTATTAAAATGTTCCTCCCTCTCTTTGAAAGCCAGCATGATGTAGTTCAGTGTGATATAGAAATTATGTTGTTGCTTCTTTGTTTCAACACTTGCTAGCTGTAAAAAGGCTTAGGCGTAGACACTGAAAGGGATAATATGTCTTAATTTCCATTTTGTTCAGTGGAAAAATGAATGGCTAATTAGTTGTAAGGGTCTCAGCCATGCAAAATCTCTGACAGGTATTTTGGAGGCAGGACTTATTCAGAGGTACACAATGTTTTATTCAGAGGTGATCTAATTATATTCCTCTTTAAAGCAATAGATGATCAATTATTTCATCAGAGCTGAGTATTTAAACGAATATGTAAAATAGTCTACCATAAAACACATTATGGCATTTACATGCAGTGTTCAAAATGGAAAAAATTTCGTACCCAAACTGGGAAAGAAAAACTATGAATATTGCTTCTGGTTTTTTTTAGGGAAAAGAAAGTAAAAATTAAAAAAATGTTGACATCCTAAAACAACTTTTGTGGAGCTACTGTCTCCTACAGAATTACCATTCAGATTAAATCCTTCATATTATGCGGTTTTGACTTATGTCTGTCATTGCAATTTCCCATTCCAGCTTGGCAGGTTTCTCATATTCACCATTCTTTCTCTAAACCCATGCTTCACTAGATGCGTAAGCTTTTTTGCTTTGTGCTCTAAGACTTTCCTGTCTAGATGTTCATAAACGCACAGCTTTTTCAAAGCTAATTGTATACTTAAGAGAGATTTAGAATTGTTCTGGTCTTTAAATCATTCCAGTCTTTCCACTTTCTCAGCAGACACCAGTATTATTTTCCTTACGGAGCATGGGTGGTCTCAGTTGGGCTGAGTTTATGTAAGAAAATATCGTACAAGGGAGTTTATTTAGGGAGGAGTCCATAACCAGACATGGTCTTTGCAGCAGCAGCCCATGGGTGACTCATGGGGAATTCTTCGTAATTTAAACACCACCAGTCGTCCTTGTGCAGATGAATTTCGGAGTGGAGCAAAATTACAAATGTGGTTTGTGTTTGCAGTGCCAGTAAGGAAGACTCTGAGCCCTGAAACTTAAAGTTATCATTGCTTTTTTGTGCCTCCCCGGTCCTGCCATGAAGCGCACAAGTACCATGAGCGGGGAAGGAGGAGGCTTTGGGAAACAGATGACTGTTTAACTGCTGGTTCATCCAAGTCAGCTGGGGAACTCGGTGGGTTTTTGGTCTGATCTCAGATCCTGATGAGCCCGTACAATGCCCTGAGTGCCGTGGGGACATAGACACCTCAGGCATCACACTGGTCCCAAAAGCTCTTCAGGCCATAAGCAGTTACAATGGTTGGCACCTTCAGGTTTCAGACAATGCTGTGATCTTGCTGGGGCTGCTGCTGGCGGGGAAAGGCACAGTCCTTGCTGTGAAAGGTTTGTAGTCAAAATCAGTTGAACAGAGAATAGTGGAAGAAAAGGGTAAATGTTTCAGGGCAGCAAGCAGGAAAGTGAACTATAGTGGGAGGATTAGGATTTCTTAGGGAACCTTAGTGTCTCGACAGTGTACCTGCAGTTGCTTGCCCGAAGTTAACTAGTGATTGGATAGCAGGGGAGACAGCCCTGTTTGGGTCTTTTCTTTCGCCTCTTCTCATTCATGCAAGGCTGGACCATCTCTTTTGTACTAATGAGTGTCTGTATGTGGAACCTGGTTAATCTTTAATGTACTCCTCTGCCTCAAGAAGATGAGAAAGAATGTCCTTTACAGTTACTGTATTGTAGATAAGACATGAGTTAACGTTGCACTTGCAGGGGAGTAATCAAAAATATTTTTAGGGGTGTTAGGACTGTAGTTCTATTTATCCTTTGAGCAAATCGTGCAGTATTTTTGGTTACCAGTGTAAAGGATCCAATTACACATAAGGCCCGTAACAGCTTAAGCAGAAGAACGCCATTTCTGCTCGAAGATCTTACACTTGGATTCTGGCTGCAGAAATGCTCTGTTTTCTGTGACATTGTGAGTGCATTGTGACCCTTCCGTTAACCAATACAGGTTGCGCTACCTTTTTTCACAAAAGGAGCAGAGTTTTGGTTTCTTACTCCTTTTGCTCACAGGGGCCTTTTGAATACAGATAACTGATTCCCCTCTCCTCCGGTATTTTAAAAGTCATATAGTTCAGGTGATAAATAGGTAGGCAACAGCACGGCTGCGCAGCATATTTCAGCATTGAATCATGCCAAAGCAAAAACTACGGCTGCAGGAGAGAAAAGCCCCAAACAAATCAATTGTCGTAGTGTCAAAGCTGACCATCAGACCTGGGAACGCAGGTTTGTTAGAGATCATGAACACTTGGTGTTGATAAGAAACAGCTCAATTAATGCAGACCGATATCCATATACATTTGTACTTAGAAGAGTAATGTGCTTTATAAAGGTCATGCACTGAAGACTCAGTGAGAAATTGCAGGTGTATCCAAATTGGAAAGTCATACATGAGCAGTAGTAATTACTAATGGTATCAAAATAGTCTGTATTTTTATTTTCCTGGTTGTTCTGGTAATTGAGCTTGGATCTTGCTAAGAAAACAGAGATGCTGCTCTGTTGGCATCAGATTCATTAACCACAAAATAATAACCAGAGGTTTGTAAGCTCAGAGAAGTGGCATGGGGCTGGAAGGCAGGTATTACCAGGGACCCATGAATACCCTCTAAATGTCAGTTGCTGGCTTCTTAATTTATAAATTATAAATCTCTACTAGTTATACACTTAGCTTTGAAAATTTGTGCTTACAGTTTTTAGCTTGATGTACAGCGTTGCTTGACGTGCATAGAATTTGCCTTACCAGGTAGGAAGACAAGCCAACCTAAGTACCGTACTACCTTCTTGACAGTTTAAAAGCCATTACACTGCGGTTCAAGTTCTCTTATGTTTTCTAGGGTGCCCAAAGAGCTTATCTTCTCTTTTGAAAAGTCTCTCGGTGATAGCATTACAGTAGCTGCGGAGAAACTCCTGTTTTCTCTTTTTTCTTTTTTTCTCCTTTTTTCTCTTTTTTCTATTTTTTTCTTTTTTTTCCTATTTTGTCTTTTTTCATACAAGCGTAACACTGATCTGATGTCCATACACAAACTAAAGGTGGGTGAGACAGACGTGAGGCAGAAGCTTGCTGGACACCTTTAAGTAGTGCAAAAGCCACATCTTTCCGGTGATGTGTTCCCCTCTGAGCAGAAAGATCATTTTCCCAATAAGCTGTGGTTTGTTCTCTCTTATATGCAGAGGCATTCTGTCCTGGCTGTCCCCCCAGGCTTCCTGCGGGTCTGCAGCTGGCCTCTGAAGATCCCATTTCCCCATCCAGAGGACGGGGAGGTTCGGAGAAAGAGTGCCTTGCACCTTGGTGAGGCAGTCAAACTCAGGGTTCATCTGATCACTGCAGGAAGGAAGCTGTAGAGCTGATGGCACTCAGGGCTGACCTCCAAACTTAGGTCTCTCCAGGAGGATGGCCAGGAGGTCAAGCCATTCTCCTGAAGAGCTCGGATGTGAGTTGGTGGTGGCTCTGAGTTTCTTCCAAACCAGGCTGCATTTGCAAAGCTGAGATGTGGTGGCACTGTTGTTGCTTAAACACATACGCCTCGGTGCTTGTAGAAAACAGTGATGGCTCTTCTGTTCAGCCCTCATTTAAAGGGCTCATCTGAGTGGCAGAAACATGGATTTACACTGTAATCACTTCATATTTTGAAAAGGCAGGTGGTGGCTGGCGAGCCTGGGGTCGGAGGGCCCTGGGAGGCGGAGGATGTGGCTCCTCTTGTGGTTGAGGGCCCGCTGCCATGGTTTTCCATTGCCTGCCCATAGTCATGGACATCCAAGCAGCTGAGCAGCCAGAGGGGCAGGAGGCCTTGCCTGGCCCTCAACACAGGGAAGAAAACTTTGATTTATGTCTCCCTTTGTTCTCTGCCTTCTTGCGTTCAGTGCAGTAGTGTGGAAACTGAGAAATACAGTCCCTGGATATCTAAGAAGCTCCAAACAGCTTGACTTGTGGATTTGGGTGGTGTGGTTTTGTGCCTTTTATTGCTGCTGTGTTTTTGCGGTCCCACCAAGGGGTAGCTATTGTTCTGTTTTGTTTACTGAATTTGTTGTTTCTGGTCTTGTTTTTCCTCTCACTCAGGATTTGATCCAGGAAATAAATGAATTGCGATTGAGAGTGGGAGAAATGGACAATGAAAGACTCCAGTACGAGAAAAAACTGAAAACGACCAAAGTAAGTGAGGGTGAGGGTGAGAAGCAGAGATGGGTGTAAGTCAGGCGTTAGAAGTTCTCTCTCTTTTCCCCAGTCCTTGCCTTCACCCTGCAAAATCCTGAGCACGCTTAGGGCCGGGGGTTTCATGGCACTCACTTAGCAACGGGTTATTTCCAAATTTCATGCTGTGGTTTTCAGATCTGGGCATTGTTTTTTATGAAGGATAACTTACCATGCAGCTGGCTGTTAACAGTAAATGATTTACCTGTTTAGACCCTTGTTTCACATATCTGTCAAGAAACACCAGTTGCAGTACATAAGGTGTGTGCCATAGGTGAGATCAAAGCTGAGCATTTATTTTCTCCTAAATATAGTAAAAATCAGCCACTCCTGAAGAGAAAGCATTCACTTAAGTAATTCTAGCAGCCTGTTTCTATAAGTGTCTAACTTCCCTTTGCCATTTAGCCTTGTCTCTTTTCTATCTTTAGTTTTCTCTCACTCCTCTGTCTCTGTTACCAGTCTTTAATGGCCAAACTTTCTAGTATGAAAATCAAAGTGGGTCAGATGCAGTATGAAAAGCAACGGATGGAGCAAAAAAGCCAGATGCTGAAGGTGTAGTAGTTTCTGGGTAACATTGGACCTGTCTTGAATCTTTCATGTTCCACCGTTTTACGATCTGTCTTGCACTGTGCTGTCATGCTCTGTTCTTCATTAATTGCTGTGTGTTGATATGCAGTGCACCCTTTCCCATTAGATGTGGAAAACTCTTTATGTAGATTTTCATTGTGAATATTATATTGGGTGGGAGAGGATTTTGATGTTGTGAACTTTGCATAGGTTATACATAATGGAATAAGACTTGGGTTAAAATCATTCCCCTTTCACGAGAAGATTGCCGCTTCTGTATCTTACGTCCATTATTCAAACAGAACTTTTCCTCACCTTTTTAGAGAAAATTTATTCATGAAAACTAGCTAGAAAATAGTGATTCTTTTATACTGTCCCCTCTCCCACGTGTAAATTTACATAACGTGTTTCTAATTCAGGGGAAGAAATGCACATAAACAGTCACATGCAGCTCTATTTGCCCATGAGTATAACAGCAGCTTCTCAGGTGACCAAGAGCTGGTCTTGTTTTGGAGAAGCATGGGTCCTACACTGGCAGAAATCCCGTCAAAATCAGTACCAAGTTGGAGCACTGGAGGATTGTATTACCCATCCACTGTTCTGGAAGAAGCTTTGATTTCATGACAGTTTGAAGATTGATGTATTTTTTAATTATGCTTTAGAGCAAACAGGAACCAATTTCAGGCAATTCTGTAGTCTGGGCAGACATCACTGTGTATTTGCAATAGATCTTTTGAGGGAAGCTCGGGAATATACACCTAAGCCACAGTGTTCTAGTTTGGTTTATGCCTTTAAGGATTTAAAACTTCAGTTAGAAGCTGTAAATGCCAAAATCATGAGTCTTGCCTTGTTTTGTTTTGTTTACAAACTGAACAAATTAAATTTTCAGTGTTGGGTACATTTGCACTGAGGGTCCTGTCTTGATGATGCTGTTGCGTAAGATATCCTCGGACATCAAAGAAACGTGTTACTAAACTGGGTAGGATTTGACTCAGATTTTAAAAAGTTAAATGCATGGATCCATGCCAGTCACTTGCTAGTGCAGATGGTTAGATCTAAGTTAAAATTTGACAGCATTTATCTAATACCCCCCAACTCCCCCAAACACCATCTGTCTTATTCCCATGAATCTCAGTTCTAAGCTTCCTTTCCTAATGCTTCATCAGCAAACCCAAACTGTGGCAAGAGTACCACATTTTCATCTGAACTGCTTTCCAATATGTGTTTATGTGCTTAATGGTGTCGTGATTGGTTTTTCTTTCATAGAAGCAGTGGTTATTTCTGAAACTGTCCTCAGCCTGGTGTAAGCACAGTTTCATGACTGTCCAGCTTGGAACATGCAAAATGCCCAATAAATACCAGAATAAGTGTTCATAAATTTTAGCATTCAGCCCCATCACCTGCACTTTTTCTGTCTCTGCAACGTTAAATAAGAAAACTGCTTTTTTTGCTTTACTTTTTCTTTTTTAAATTTAGATGTAAAATCTCTGTTCAATTATATATAGGACTGACACTTTCGGACCGTAGGCCCCCTGGTTTTGCCCCCATCCAGACTCAGTGGTCTGTAGTGATGTTCAGAGGCAGAGTTTGGCAGGTGTACCCTCAGGCAGTGTCGATATTGGTCAGGGGGCCCTTGGGCGCTTCACAGGAGGGGATTTTGGAAATGGCTAAGGTGCACATGGAAGCTGTCACTGAGTGATTTTCTGTCTGTTACAGGAGGAGCTAGCAGCTTTGAAAGACAGACTGGAGCAGAAGGAAGCTGAGGTGAACAGGCTGCAAGAAAAATTGGTTTGCAAGATGAAAGGAGAAGGAATTGAGATACTGGACAGAGGTAAGAAGCAGGAAGGCTCTCTCACTGTGTCCTCATCAGTCACCTCGTCCTGTTTCCATGAATGCCTGTACAGGAGGTAACAGATACATATACTTTCTGTCTTCATGTTTACTTTTTTTGATATAGTTAGTGGATATTCACGATGCCTGAACCTACTGTCATAGCAGGTTCTTAATAAACTTGAAACTAGCCCAAGTAATCCCTAGTTAGCTCTTTGTATGGCCTGCGTGGTGCCTGAAACGGTGCTGTTTGTATTGGCAAAGAAATCCTTAAACTAGTTTCAACAAGTTCCCCAAAAAGGTTGTCTTGAGAAGGGAACTTTCTGTGCAGGTGTCTGTGCTGGGCTTTGCTTGTACACCACTTGCTGGTAAGGAAGGGAAAAAGCCATGGTATGATGGGTACCAGCAAATCTTCAGTGGGGACCCAGCTCTAAGTAGGTGAAATTGAGGACTGGTTCTGTATTTGTGCACTGGATAAATTTAAATCCTAATTAAGCTTGAATTAGCACAGAAATTTTATGTCAGATAATTCTTTTATTTGCTTGCAAGGAAGAAACAAAATTAGTATTTATTTCGGGGAAACTTAGATTGAGGAACTTATTTAAAAATAAAAAATTTTTTTTAAAGCCTCACAAATTTTTCCACAGACTTTTCTGACCTGCTCCAATTTCACTTCTGAATATATCTAACTGACAGTTATTGCTGATTTTAAGATTGTGCTTTTAAGCCACAAGAGGTTAATTATTCTCCTTGCCTCACCGGAGGAGGAAAATGCTGTGTGTGGATCATCGTGTTTTATTTCATAAAATGATCTGTTTTAAAAACCACTGTGTAAGAGCACTAAAAGTGACCACAATGAACCATGATTCCTTTTTTTTTTTTTTTTAAGAATATTTTAATGGGAACAAGGTCTTGCATTTATGGCTACTTAAGGCTTTTCTTCCTGGGGCTGCTGTGTGCATTGAACTCCCATTACCCTCTGGTTCTCAGCTGTAGTTTAGTTTTCAGTATAGCTCAGCAGAGGATCTTCAGCCATGATGAACCACGTTTTTTTCTGCCTTGGAGCAAATACAGGAGTCATGCTATTTGCAGGTAGCACAGGCTGTCTGCCCCGTTAGCTGAATTGTGCTTTCTGAACAGATGCGCATACATTATCACTTTAGCTGGCTTTTGCCAGTGAAGCCTTAGCTTAACAGTAATCTGTTGGCATAAGCCTTTTCTGAGGCCTTACAAGTTAAAAGATACAGTTGAAAAATACATCCTTGAGACAGGTGGTTGTGTGCGAGAGCAGTGAGACTGTTTTGTGTCATTAGGAACGTTAGCGCTGGGGGAGGGCAGGGTGAAACCGTGAGCTGCTTGCCTCTGCAATATGTGAGGAATAGTTGACTCCTGAAGTATCAATATTGTGTTAAAAGTTATTTAATGTTGTAACCTTCATGCTAATTTTGAATCCAATGGATTTTCCTGCACAGATGAAAATTGTAAAAAGAAGCTCAAAGATAAAAGTAAGGTTTCTGGTGTCTTTCCACAAGTGTTTGCATTTCAGAAGTGCTTTCCAGAATAGCTTTCTGCATGTGTTTGCAAAACTGCTTTAACAAACATTGTTAGGTTGCATCATCTATAACCCTTAGTTACACTTACAGTAAAATTTAAGAAGGGTGCATAGATCACAGTTGAAATAGAAAGTTTTCTGAAGAAAAAACCTGATAGGTAAAGAAAGATTTGGCCTCATGGAGACTCACAAAACAGTTTCCTCACAGTGAAATGTGGTCACAATCCAGTAAACCGGATTTTCTGTTAGCATAACTGAGTAAAAATTACTGGAACTGGATCAGTTGCAGTTTTAGCCCAATGTGTCTAATTATCTTTTGTCTAGAAAGCCAGCTAGGCAGCTTGTTTACTTCTTGCATTTAAGGAGGAGAAAGTTCTTCCCACTCTGTTTATTTTCCGAGAAATTTTAGGAAGTTAAAACCAGGTAAAATGCTTTGTTACCTGTAAATTTGGCCACCTGCCTATGTTTGTAACACAATTTAAAGTTTACTTCATTTATCCAAGGTAGATTTTTAGCAAAAATGGAGATTATTTATTTCTATTCTTTTTGAATTTCTAGTCCAGAACACCTCCAAAATCTAGCCTTGTTAGAACATACAGGTTTCCATGTATTTGCAGTTCTTTGTAAATAAGGATTATAGATGAAGCATGGAACACTTATGTCTGTATTAGGGACCTTTTCCAAGTCTGAATTACAATATATATTCTAGCATGACTGCTCATCACGGCAAATACTTGTATCATTCCATTGTGCTGTCCTCATTCCTACATCCATACTGAGTTAAGACTAAGCATCACTGCACAATGCTTTCTTCATCATATCCATTAATCCTGTTGCTTTGTACAGTGGGTTTTTGAGATGCCATTTGGGGTGTTTATTGACTATTGTAATGAGGATGTGTTTTACTGCACTCCAAATGTAGTATTTTATATTTTGGACTTTTTGTTTTGCAGTTATTTGCAAGAGGGAGATGGTGAAAGTCAAGCAGTAATTTTACTCTTGACTTTTCCATTTTCCTAAGGCTAGGGGGATGGGTAAGGATGTTTCTTGAATTTCATCATTTCATGAAAAAAATGTCAAAAAAAAAGGTTTTGAAGAAAAAGGATTTTCTTCTATATATTTCCATGTAAAATAGAACCCAAGTGGCTTGTATTTTGTCTTTTAATTAGTAAATTTACTTTCAGATATTACCAAGTTGCTTTTAGGTTTTTTGTTTATCTTATTTCCTTACACTGTCTTATTTAAATTGACTTAGAGAACTCTATTGTGTTTTTAGATATAGAGGTACAGAAAATGAAGAAGGCGGTAGAATCTCTAATGGCAGCAAATGAAGAGAAGGTAGCAAAGTCATTACTTTTTCCATAATCATTCATCAGATCGAGTTAAATCTCTAAGAAAATCTTCACATAGCAACTTGTCACATTTCAATTAAAAAATGAAATTTGTAAGAATCAATGAGTCACTATGGTCAGAAGAACTGCCGTGCCTTTAAGGGACTATAACTGGGCATTTATGAGCTCTGTTGTGTGTACTCAGAGACCTTCGACTGTTGAATCATTCAGTTCAGTGCGACTGCCATTTACGCCGTGTTCTGCAAATGTGAAGAGCTCCTTGCAAGTCCCATAAGACATCACACGCTGCGTTTCCAAACAGGCTTTCTGTAAAGCGTGAATTGTTTTCGTGTATGGTTTTGCACATTCATATGCATGTGCATTTTGTAGGATGTTTGCTTTTGATCACCAAAGCCCGAAATGCTTTGATTACTGCTTTCTTTTTACATGCCAAATTTATTATACTCTACCTTTGACTTAATGAGGGAGCTGAAATCCACTTTCAAGGCAGAGACAGTTCTGGTGATTAAGCAGATGGTAGTTTTTGCTAAATACAAGTTATGATATTTCAAAGACTCGCAGAGTTCTGAGTCCTGCCCCATCCACACTTTCCATTTCTCTTAGTCTAAAAACCAATTAAACTGAAGAATATCTAGTATTTGTATTTCTTATTTTTGATGTGCTGAAGGAAGAAGCACAGTCACAAGTTCCTTTTATTTTAGGATCGGAAGAGCTTCGGCAATCTCTGAATAGGTACAAGAAAGTTCAAGACATGGTGATAGTGGCTCAAGGTAAAAAAGGTATTGTACAATCACACAAAAAAAAAAATGAACTCTCATTTAAACTCTATGTGCACTGTGGTAGTGTTATATCAAGTCTCAGACTTAGTATCTTTGGAGGCATCTCTTAGGTAGAGTAATAGCCAGTTCTTCAGCTGATGTGAACTGGTAAATTGCCGATTTTGTCCAGGCAGCTGCACATTTGGGTGTTGTCCCATTTACCATCTGGTAGTAGTAACTTACTGTCACGTTGCTTATTTCCTCCTTGTAAAATTGTTTGACTATGACAAGCTCTCAGGCTCTTTCCATAGCCTCCTGAAATGCCTTTCGGGGCTGGCTGCGCTACGTTGACTCCCCTCTCTTGCATGTATTCCTGGGAAGGGCTTGGCAGCTGAGCAGAGCAGTGCCTGAGCATGCACGTTCCCAGAAGCCAAACCAGCGCTGCCCCAGCGGCTGCACACGCTGTAATAGCAGTGCCCGAGAGCTGCAAAAATGTTTGTAGCAAAGTGGATGTGCTTCTGGGGCTGTGTTGCGATGACACACCACGTCTTGGGCATGCAACAAAGCCTTCACAAACCACCGTGTGCAGCAGCTGTGGAATAGTTCTCCGTCCTTACCACAGTGGAGGGGCCAGGCTGGCTTTTCCTATCAGTCTTTCTTTCACACATCCCCCCCCAAAAAAGCCTTCTCTGCCACCAGATAGTTAGCTTAACTGTGTGGCTGAAATGGTTGCTGTAATACAGACTGTAACATGTAATAGTCCATTCCATATGTTCGAAGACTGGTGGAGATGTCCAGATCCAGGAGCTTCTGATCTCCAAAGGTGATAAATGTTGAGGAGGTCATCAGTCTGATGCAATTGCATTGAATACTCTTATCTCTCTCCTTTCTCCCTTAAAAGAAAATAAAAAGAAACATGTGTAGAACATTACACTGAAATGGTTCTGGCTTGTCAGATGCAAAATGCTTAGATGTTACAAAATGAGCATCTCCCTTTACAGCAACAATCCTGGCCTGGTGGGTTTTTTCCGTGCATCATCCTGTTCTTTCAGCACTGAAGTTGCATTTTGTAGGTCACTGTCCTCTGAAAGACCTGTCCCCATCAAATTTTAGACATTAGCATTTTGATAATGTATGCACATTTAATATATGCGCAACTGTCTGTGCACCACAGTGTTGTATTACCACCTTATGGAAACCTCCTTTGTCTCTGAGGCCTCTGAAGGCCAGAGAAGGCCAACCCAGCCTTCCACAGACCTTGAACTGACCCGAGCTCGTTGCCTGAACTTCTTTAGGATAGGCAAGGGCTTGTGGCTTTTGACGGCCATGCAAGTGTTGGAGGTGGATGACCTTCCTAGGAGAGGGATGTGGAAGCCCCCAGGGATCTTTGCAAATATTGAAGATTATCAATAGCCAGAAATGAGTGAGGGGGCATAAAGTGTATTTTTGTGGTGGTGGATTCACGCTGGGGCTCTTGGGTCTGCTCTCTTGGGACAAGGCAGGAAAAGTGGACATGCGGCCAAGACCGGGGCTAAGACCCAGGGAGAAGAGAGGTTCCTGGTGCCCCTCTCTGCTTCTGCCTGTCTTTTGAGAGGCCATCCCTGCAGGGAGGCAGGATTGCAGCAAGGAGATGCTGACCCCCACCCCTGATGGCACCGGCTGATCTGCAGGGCAGCGTGAAAGCCCTGGACCACGGTCTCTGGCTGCCTGTCCTGCTCCCCCACAAGCACTGCAGTCCTGAGGTGGGTGCAGCAGTGGGTTCAGGAAGCAGCTTCTCTTAATCCAGCATGATGGACATGAGCCCAGAAGGGAGCTGGCGTGCGCCAGAGCATGCTGGGCTGAAAACTGTAGGCTTTGGATCTTGGAATATAAGGGCTTTTTCTTCCTCGAAACCACTGAGGGGCACCAAGGACACAGCTGCGTGTCTTTGATCTGCAAGGCTGGGAAAGCACATTAACAGTGAGGGAAGAGGAAAGGCAGTGATGAGGGCAAAACACCATATAGACTGTTGGAGAAGAGTGAAGTATTTTTGGAATAGGTATTGCCCTTTCATGCAGTGCTATGCCTTCAAAGGCAGGAGGATGTTAAAACAGACCTCGAGACTCTGGGAACTGTGCTTTATGGTCAATTCATGGAGCACGGACAGAGATTTCAGGCAGTGAAAAATGAGCAAGAGAACAGACTTTGGCTAGTGTTTGCATCAGCCCTTCGGCAATGAGTGCTATGTTTCTGCTCACTTTTTTAGAAAGTATTTGTTGCCTTTAACTCTTTCTTGTCACTGTCTGTACTCTGGTGTCGATGATAAGTGTGGAAATCCAAGCCTTTTGGTAGTACTGCGACAGTTCGGGAGCAGAAGATGCCGGACGCTGGTGCAGGCTACGGCATTAACTGAATGAGGCAGACTCAGTTTGTGGCAGTCTGCAAACATAATGTAGTCCTGTAAAAGCTGGTGTTAGGTGCAGTGGGCTGCGTTTCTCCTTTGGGTAACTTGAAGGTGCCATAGAGACATCTTAAGTTTCAGGCAGACCTGACCCCCTGGTCTTTCCCT